TATTCAGTTGACGTAAAACTGTTCTTTCTGTGCGCCATTTGTATAGTTTGTTGTGAACGGAATAAGTCACTGAAAGAATAATAACACTGTTTTCGTTGTGAAGAAAGGTAAGGAAAATAGAAGTGATGGCGAGAGTGTATTTGTTCTAGTTGATAAGAGAATGATATTGAAAAGTGTTTTGCTGTCATGAGATTAAACAATATACTGTTATGTTTTGTTTTTCGAAGACAAAGAAAAACAGAACAGGCGAATAATACTTACTCTCCACTTCACTGTCGGTTGTCGTTTCTTTTATTTTTGTCGAAAAAAGCCGACATAATGACTGGGATCGACGGAAAAGATCAGCTCAAAGTGAACCTTTGGAAGGTACATTTCTCTCACGTTCATTGATTGATATGAAGTTCAGACTTACTTTAAGCGATCTACACAGCTTAACGTGAAACTTGCGTAACATAGAATTAAGCTACATGTTACTTCGAAGAGAAACGTCTACTCTGCAAACATCAATGAAAATCAGTAGCGTGAATGGAGCGCGTTGCTCTCCGCTTCTGGAAAGTTTTCCGTGAATATCGTTGTTATTTTTGGGGATTTTCGTGCGCACTTTTGCTACAATATAAGAAGGACTTTTACCTACCTGTCTCTGAAAAATCGTCTTCAACATTCGCAGGATAACGATCTTAAAAGTGGATTACTGGATTGCCTTACGGACTTTCTTGAATTGCCCCACTGGGGGCTATTCAAGAAACTACATAGTTCCCGTTGGGGCAATTTAGTAGTCTCGTTAAAAGCGAACGATGTTTTTTGTTTTTTATAAAAGCTAATTATCTCAGGAATAATTAGATGTTGTTAACAAGAATTTTATATCATTAAATTTCTCTTACTCTCAAAAACACACTGGTATCAAACTCCAAGTTATCCGATCAAAACTCACTGAGATTCTCTCGAAATAACAGACATCGGTCAAATAACTCGATTGCAATGATAAGTTCAAGAAGATTAAAGACAAAACTATTTTTCAAGCCTAATATATCATAATAGAAAGTAAATTATACTATTTTAGTAACCAAACAATACCAATAAATCACATTTCTCAATATTCAGTATAGAGGTTGAATGACACGTCAGGCTAGTTCACAAAACTCACAAAGAAAATTTACAGATAATTGATGTAATGTCGTTTGAGTACAATAAAAACAAATAACATTTGCGCACCTTGTACAATTCCAGTAAGTCGTTAATGATGGCACTATCGTTGACGAACATATACAGCAGAGCATAGCTATTTGTTGTCCGTAGTGAGATGAAGACAGATCAACATAAGTATGATTTTGGCTTGGTTGATCTAACGATGATTCTAATGTATGCGAATGTGGTGGACTAGTTGGCCACATATTTGTATTCGTTGAGGGCTGTTCTGCATAATAGCCTGAGATAAGTAGTTGCGTTTGTGGACTAAGGATGATCGAAGAAGACGATAATAATGCCGGTGCAACACATAATCCTCTATCTGTTAAAGTTATATTATCTGTTTGTTTTGTTTTTCTACGTTTCGCCACTGGTTTATTCGTTATTTTCTTCTTCTTCCTCTCACGCTCAACTTCCTTTGCTTTTAAACAATATAATGCATCGATACTTGTCAAACTTTCACCAGTATAACGCTCAATCATTGTTTTACGTTTTGTGTTTTTAACAAGTGTTGGCTTCAAGTATTGATCAAGGCTAGCAGTTATTGCTCTTTGAATACTTGAATTTGTATCATCTAGAATCAAACACGTGAGGAATTTTATATACTAAAGATGAAAAGTGTTATAAAAACAGAACTTCGTTAGATCCCCTTGAAATGATGAATGACGTCGATGCTTGTTTGTGGTTGATGGAATGGAGATATCTCCCGGTGGCGATATGTCTAAACAGTATAGTTTACCAATGGTTTAAATTTTATAAAGTTTTCTCAGCAATGCGAATATAATGTCCTACGAAGGAGAGTTTGAGATAAATTCAACAATGAAAATGAGTTACCTGTTAATGACGAAGTACTATATATAGATGCAATCGAAGTAGACGACGTATCGCCAATAGTCGATAGGTTCAGTGATTCACGTTGCGGTAACATGTGTAGTGGTGATAATGCACTCGTTACAGGCACGGTAGTAGTAGTTGTAATGTGTAATGTGGTCGAACTTTTTTGGGTAACTAAAAATAAGAAAGCACACGGCAATTAACAATAGAGTGATTGTTTACAACCATATACCTGTTTCAGAAAGTACTGATGGAGCTGAAGGTGATCGTCTCATTCGAAACCCAACATGACTGATGTTGGTTCTTGCTGCTGGGGTAGTTGCTGTATCATTTTGTGACGATACTAAATATTCTGTTGATAATGCTCGTGGCAGTTTTGTATTATTGGCATTTGATGAATATAATATTTTGTCTTTCGGAATGGCTCTCTTATCGTATGGATAGATACCAGCTTTAGCAAATCCACCAGAGCAATAAGCAGGTTAGAGCTGTTGAATATAACTTTTTAAATATTAGAGGGAATACTGATCGATCTACATTATCGGCTTTAGTCTTTAAATAATAATCTTGTAATAATTTCCGCCATTGTGTTTTAACAATTTTCAATGTGTATACATCAAGCGGTTGTAAAGCGCTTGTAGTATGAGGAGGTAATGCCAAAATGTGAATTTGATTATCCAATGCAAGTTTCGTTGTACAGTATGAGATATGAGAAAAATGGTTGTCCAATATCAGAAGAAGTGGACGTGGTATGTCTTTTGTTTCTTTAATAAATTGTTTCTTGAACCAATCAAAAAATATTGATTCATCCATCCACCTGGACTCATTCGTATTGTACATCGTACCTGGGTAATTTTTCTTTGGAAACCAAGTATTATATAAACGCTTGCCTTTATAAAGAATATAGGGGGGTAAACATCTATAGAGACAATAAGTACTACTTTCAGTCGCTGAATACAGATAAACTTTGTTTTTTACCTGCCCGCGGCCGATGTACACAAAAGAACGGTAGTTTGCGACTTTCCGGATCCGCCGTGTACTGCATTTGGAAATTTTGTCTCACGTTTTACCACGACGGATTTTGTTCCAGGATCATCTGAAAACCCACTTTCATCACAATTGAATATATGATCAGGTTTATTAAATAGTTCTAACTTATCGAGTATTAAAGATAATTTGTCAAACCAACTATTAAGGACACAAACTGGTAATGCATTACTTCTGACTCTTTCCAATTTAATACTTCTCATTATTTTTATTTCAAGAGACCACCGTTCCATAAATCCATAGAACCAATCTTTTCCAGGACCGTTTTCTTTAACAGTTTTTCCTAATTCTAACATGTAAAATCTTGCTAATTTAATTACATCAGAATTAGACATAGGATGGTTATACTCCTGCATTTTTTTAATAATATGCACAAGATACGATTCTTCTTGTTTAGATAAAATCGTTTTCCGACCTGGTGAGCCACAACCATTTACACCTGATACACGGTTGTACAATGTGCTTTGAGGAATTCTGTATTTCTCGGCAGCATCAATAACATTTAGTTTATTTTCGTTGATTAATTTTATTGCTTCATTTAGATCATTATCAGTGTACAGCTGTTCTTTTCTCCTTCCGTATATGCGAACCATTCTTAAGATAGTCTATAGCCCTAGTCGTCAATTCTTATATAAGAATTGGACGGGAATCTGGTAAGGATCTTGTCAGCTTCTTGTCTGCTTTTCCTAAGAATCTTATCCGATTCTTATCAGATTCGTATATAAGAAGTGGCACGA